CGCCAGGGCTCGTATCGAGGAACAACTGGGGAAATTGGAAATATCAGAGGAGGAGGCGACACCGCTGGTTCTTGATGATCGAGTTGATGGCGCTGCGGAGAAGTGGCTGATCGCGGGCAAGGTATTGCATCGCAACATATTGCATATACAGACAATCTCCAACGCGCTACGTCCTGCATGGGGAAACCCTAAAGGACTGTCTTTCCGCATCGGTGGGGAAAATATGTTTGTAGAGGAGTTCGCTACAAAGCGAGATCAGGACCGCGTGTGGGAAGGAAGCCCATGGCATATCAGCAAGCACGCTGTCATCCTTTCTGAGTTTGACGATTGCATGAGACCGTCGGAGCTCAGTTTTGATAAGCTTCAAGTCTGGGCTAGGGTTGTGAACCTCCCGTTCAATCTCCGGGATGAGGCGTGGAGTAGAGCGATTGCTAAGCAACTGGACAAGAACGCAACTGATATCCACTTTGATCATGGCGGAGGCTACCTGCGTGCCCGTATTACTCTGGATGTAGCGAAGCCATTGAGAAGGTGGATCTTGATTGAATCGGCAAGGAGGGGACAGACTGATCCGTATGACATACAATATGAAAATATACCTCACTTTTGCTTCTCATGTGGACGATTGGGACACTCCGACTTGCTCTGTCCAACACCTGGCACGAGAGATGAACACGGTGATTTGCCTTTTGGCAAGGGGCTGAGACCGGGGGAAGAAAAGAGGAGACCCGCTGTGTCCGAGAGCTCATCATCAAACAGTCAGCAAGCACGGAACAGTAAGTAGGACACAAAGAAATCCAGTACGGCTGAAGATGGAGGAAAAGAGGTGAATTCACCAAAAAAGCGGAATGTGGCGCCCAAGCGGAAGGGGGGCCGCCGACACAAGTGTATCGTAGGGTGGAGATGCCCCTGTTGATGAACTCTGCAGCAAATGATGGTCAGGGGACTAGTGCTATCCGTACAGACACATGTGTTGAAGGGGACGGCGATGAAGAGGAAGGAACTGAACGGGAACCAAAAAAGAAGAAGCCGACCCCAACAAATTCTGAAGACTCGGCAGTGGCTGTTGGACAGCCCTGCCCGTCCCAATGATTTGCTTAAGCTGGAACTGCTGGGGGCTTGGGAACCCCGAGGCAGTTCGCGAGCTTCGCAATGTGGTGAAGCAAGAAGGTCCCGCCCTTGTCTTTGTGATGGAAACGAAGATTAGGGCTGTCAGGGTTGAGAACCTGAAGTTTTCTTTGGGTTTCTCTGGTTGTTTTGCAGTGGACAGTGTCGGGCTGAGTGGAGGCCTTGGATTATTTTGGTCTAAGGACGTGTCCGTTGAGCTTAAGAATTACAGTGCCGGCCACATAGATTGTGTGGTGCGGAGAGTTGATACTCCATCTGAAGTATGGCGCTTCACAGGGTTCTATGGCGCGCCAAGAGTGGAGGATCGTCACCATAGTTGGCGTTTTCTTCGAACGCTATACTCACTTGCACACGATGCATGGATTTGTATGGGTGACTTCAACGAGACGTTGTACGCGGATGAACACTTCAGTCGTTCGGCTCGCCCTGAATGGCAGATGAGAGCGTTTCGAGAAGTAACAGACGAGTGTGCCCTTCAAGACCTGGGCTGGACGGGTGTGCCTTTCACGTGGGACAATCGGCAGCAGGGAGGGTCAAATGTTAAGGCCCGGATTGATCGTGCTTTCGCGAACGAGTAGTTCAGGCAGATGTTTGGCTTCACAGGTGTTCGCCATATCAGCTCGGCTGAATCCGATCATTGTTTTGTCAGGCTAGAGTTCCAGAAACAGATGTGTGATACAACTGGCCGGTCCAAACTTTTTCGGTACGAGAACGTATGGCAGACACATGTGGATTATGAACGGATAGTAACTGAGTGTTGGCACAATCAACAACACTCACCTGGTCTACAAGGAGTCATAGAGTCGTTAGGCGCTTTGCAACAGCGGCTCGATCCTTGGGGGAAGAAAGAGTTTGGCTGTTTGAGAAGAACTGTCCGAAAATTGCAACAAAAGTTGGACAAGCTACGGCGCCAGTCTGTAGGGCGCGGTCCAAATGAGGAGGAAAAGAGTACGGTCATCAAGTTAAGAGAAGCTCTTCGGCGGGAGGAGATTTGGGTTCGTCAACGATCTCGAGTCCTTTGGCTTCGGGATGGTGATAGGAATACAGAATATTTCCAGGCGCAGGCTAAACAGCGACAACGCATCAATAAAATTGTCGGGCTACGCCGGATGGATGGGTCGGTTTGTGCTGATGGAAACAAAGACAAAGTGGAGATACAGAACTTCTATCAGCAATTATACACCTCGCGAGGGTCGACGGAGGCGACTGAGGTGTTATCGCATGTGCCTGTACAGATCACTCCGGAGATGAACGCGGTTCTGGATGGACTTTTTACTCCGGAAGATGTGCACAAGGATCTTTTTTAGATGGCGCCATCAAAGGCACCGGGTGTCGATGGCTTCACAGCGGGTTTTTTCCAGAAGCACTGGGAGTTGTTACGGCATGAAATAACTAGTGCGGTTCTTGGATTTCTTAATGGAGGTGACCTGCCTTTGGGTTTGAACGATACGTCTATAACACTTATACCAAAGGTACGAAACCCCCAAAATACTACTCAATTCCGTCCGATTTCTCTATGCCCAATCTTGTATAAGATTGCGGCCAAAGCTATCACAAACAAACTGAGAGATTTTATGGATGAGATTATTAGCCAGGAGCAAAGTGCTTTCTTCCGGGTCGCCCCATCACTGATAACATATTGGTTGCATTTGAAAGTGTGCATGCCATGAAACGGAGGAAGAAGGGGAAGAACTTTGCATGTGCGGTTAAATTGGACATGATGAAAGCTTATGATAGGGTGGAATGGAGCTACCTCGAAGCAATCCTCCTTAAATTTGGCTTTGGCATCAACTTAGTGAGATTGATCATGAAGTGTGTCACTTTAGTTCGTTTCTCGGTACGGGTAAATGGTGAACAACTACCCTACTTCACGCCCACGTGTGGATTAAGGCAAGGTGATCCCATGTCACCCTACCTGTTTTTGCTATGTGCAGAAGGTTTTTCTTCACTGTTGAAATATTATGGGCAAATTGATAGATGCATTCGAGTCAGTTTCAGAGCTCCATGGGTGAATCATCTGTTGTTCACGGATGATAGCCTTATTTTTATGACAGCTGACAGTCAATGTGCAGGAAGATTAAACCGCATTCTGCAATTATATGGAGCTGCGTCGGGCCAGTGTGTTAACCGGGAGAAGAGCGCAATTTATTTCAGTCCCAATACGCCGGTTGCTACTAGGCAGACTATCAAGACTACGCTCGATGTGCACGTCGAGGCGTTTAGTGAACGTTACCTTGGTCTACCCACAACTGTGGGGAAGATTACCAGCGGCACTTTCGATCACATAGGTGAACGTTCACGAAGCAAGATGCAAGGGTGGTCGGAGAGATTGTTTGCTTGTGCAGGGCGAGAAACTTTGATCAAATCAATTGCCCAGGCAATTCCCACTTTCAGCATGAGTTGTTTTCTTCTGACCAAGAAGGTGTGCAAGAGCTTGACATCCAATATGGCAAAATACTGGTGGAGTAGTTCAATCGATAAGCGTTCTCTGCACTGGATTTCGTGGAAGAAACTTGCAACGCCTAAGTTTAGTGGCGGTATGGGCTTTCGAGACCTATATCTTTTCAACTTGGCCCTTCTCGGTAAGCAGGGATGGCGGCTGTTGACAAGCCCGGATTCGCTGTGTGCTCGAGTTTTAAAGGGCAGGTATTTCCCGGACTCTGATTTCATGCAGGCATCAGCTCCAAAACGATCTTCTGCAACTTGGAGGGTCATTATATCTGGACAGGAGGCACTACTCACCGGACTAATCGAGAGGGTGGGCGACGGATCATCCATTGCGGTCTGGGACGACCGATGGATTCCATCTACAACAACCATGGCGCCTTTGTTCAGGCCCCCAAATACCAATATTTTTTGGGTAAGCGATCTTATTGATACCGGAAACTGGACATGGCGGCGGCAGTTGGTTCATGACACATTCATCTCACCAGACGCGGAGGCCATCCTCAATATCCCACTCCGGTCTGGTGGGGGTGATGATTTC